GTGGTCTGTTTTTTCTACGGAAAAAATATTTTTGAAAATATAAACTAAAGTTATGTTTTTTAAATGTAACCACACACACACTAATATTTCTAATTCATATGATCCCTCCTGCTATGAGCTTCACTGTATACTACAAGATTTAATTTTCTTATATACAGGCAGTATACTTTTAATAATTCTTTAGTTTCTTTGATTATCAGTCATAACCTACCAATACATATGACCTTTTAATAAAAACTTTTCAATATTGCAGTAAATAGTGAAAATAAATATATATCATATAATCCATAGCCAGATCATATAATTTATAAATATACAGGCGTATTCCATTTAAGAAAACATAACTTTAGTTCATATTTTTAAAAATATTGTTTTCGTAGAAAAACATACTATATATAGAGAAGACCAGGCTATTAGTAACATAGCAAGTTGCCGGACGAATTTACGTTTACCCGATTTGCGTTCGTACTCGAGATTCACTGCCGGCTAGTCGGCTGTTCAGGTAGTACGCAGTTGCAGTTGTGCTTGGACGGGTCGGTCGTGACAGACTAGGAATACGACACGAGGAGTGCCGAGTATTTATTATTTTCATTTTAAGTGTTTACCTTCACTTAAGGTAACATTTAAAATAAAAATACTTAAATATTTATTATTTGAGTGTGTTTACCAGCCAAAACTAAATATAAATAAATTCTCTAAACCCAAAAAAATCTAAAATATTACTCTAAATAAAAAAAAGTTATAACAAGTGTTCAAAAAGACCACCTTCTTGTGCTAGACAGAAGCCTAGGCGGTCGTAATATCCCCGTCTGACGTTGGCTAACATATTAGGGCTAATAGTTTGGAAAGCCTCTTGTATTTTTACTTGAAGCTCATCCAGATTATTAGCCCTATTATGACCATACACTTTGGATTTTACATAACCCCACAAAAATAAATCATTGGGAGAAAGATCTGGTGATCTCGCGGGCCACAAAATAGTTCCATGTCCATGGTTGCGAAAAGTATTGTTCAAATATTCTTGAACAATACGGGCATTGTGGGCAGGGCAAACATCTTGTTGAAACCAGACATTGTAGCTTTCTCCCAATAACTCACGAATTCTAGGGACAATCTGCTGCTGTAACAAGTCCAAATACTTTGCTACAGTTAAATTACCCTCTATAAAAATAGACCAATCATATGCTCCCCTACAAAATCACCCCAAACATTTAGCTTTTGAGGATATTGCGTGCGTACCTCAAAATATCTGTGCAAATTTTCCCGAGACCAATATCGTACTTGTATAGGGTTATGACGACTCAATAAAGGAAAACTTGATTCGTCGGTGAAAACTATACGCCGAATAAAGTTTTCATCGAAAGCCTTTTACAGAATTGGTCTACATGGAAAATTTCTTGTGTTTTGTACGCGCTTTATACGATCGGTATCCATTCTTTTTAAGGACTCTTTTAACCGTGCTAGGTGAAGAATCTGTTACCTCAGCAATTCGATTACTTGAAAACGTGGGATTTTGATCCGCGGTAGCACAAATGAACACTTGCTTTTACTCCTGTTCTTCATTAATCAACACATCAGGCTTTTTGTGTTTTTGTGGGGACACGCACCCATGTCTTTCAAAATTATTAATAACTCTTGATACCTATAGTAGGTAGAGATGGAATTGGCCTGTATACAAAAGCTTGTGGAAAAATTGTTTGTATATCCCGATAAAACCTATTTTGGAAATACCATTTTACAATTTGAATTTTCTCACGAACTTATCCACTCACATCCATTATTTTACTTAAAAAATAAATTTTACACGAGAAGTGTCGCGAGAATCTATGTATTCGTTTTGGCTATTAAAACACGAATAAATACAAATTCTCAAACATTCTTATCACATATCTACGTATTTTTATTTTATCGCATTTTTTCGCCTGCTTTTTATCCGGCGGACGGGTATACGCTAATTCGTCCGGTTCTGCCTATGTTACTACTACGGTGGTCCGGTCTGTATAGTATGTCTTAGATTTTTCAAGTAAATAATATGTAATATGGAAAATGCCCTTCACAAGATGGCCATAATAATGAAGGACATTTTCTCGGAAAGAGAAGGCGTAGGAGCATTTTAGTTTTTAGTTATTAGACCTTATTACAGTTCATTGGTCCTAGTATTTTGTCAATTGTATAATTTGCTAATACGCTGTTGCAATGATCGTATACCAATACTGTTTACATTAGTCAGCGTTTACGTATGTATTTTGGTAACCCAGATAATATACCGTTTGGGTTGGTGACAGTGCTATTATACATTCAATTGTTAGTCTTCAATAAACACGGATTAAAAGTAAGAACTTATGTTTTATAATAAAAGATATAATATTATACAAGAATCGGTTTTCAACTTAGATAGAGGGACTGTCTCAAATCGCAAAATTTTCGAAAAGGCTCTGTAGTAGTGATGGGCAAAACTGTTATTTTTAGATAACAGTTGAAACTGTTATAGTTATTTATAAAAAACAGCTTAAAATAACAGCTTAAAAATAACAGGTTTCTTTATTTTACTGCTAAATATCTGAAAGTATGAGGCGGTCACCGCCAGGCGTATTAACGCAGTTGCAAGTTGCAACAATGACGTGCTCGGTGGTATATTTCCAGGGTGTCAAAACATTTCTAAATATCGATTGTTATCTAAAATACCTCTCTAAAAACGGTGGTTGTTTACAAATAAGCGCTGTTTACAAATTGCGATATAAAAAAAGCCAAAATTCCGCCACTCGTCTATACCTATACATTCCGATCTACCTACGCCCTGCCCCTCGATCCGCGTAGATCCTGAATTGAGTAGCAGTGTACAGGGTGCATCTTACTCGACGGGCGAGAAGCTCTTAGTTATGATTTTACCATTTGCGGTCAAAAAATAGCAATATAAGAAAATGTGTAGTATATTCTTCATAAGTAAACCAACTACACACTAGAGTTCGAATTAGAAGTACACTTAAACTAGCGTGTACCCGCGACTTCGTTCGTGTCGAATTAATAATTTCTAATGGTGATGATAAAGCAAAACAAGAATTTCCATTAAAATACAGACTGGATAAAATTTTCTCATATGTGCCAAAAATAGCTTTAAACGTCGAGCAATTTAAACAGAATCGTGGTTAATCAATTACTCAGCTTTTGAATACCCTGTATGATTTTTGAAAAATGTCAACATATGTTAAAAAACAAAATAAATTATGCGTGTCCAGGCGTTTTCCTGTTAGTCGAAAGACTAACTGTTTTTAAATAACAAATATTGTAATATTTGAGGGATCGTTTTCGCCCTGTTGGAATTTGAGATTCGAGAAACCCTCCTTATCGAACCTCAACCCCACAGTCAATCTGTTTGCCAAAAAATCAGCTTTAAACGTCAAGCAGTTTAAGCAGAAAAGTGATTACTCAATGGTCATATTTTATGAAACACCCTGTATATATTTGTTAAAAATCTGAATATATGTAAAACAACATAATAAATATACGTGTTTTAAGAGTTTTTCCGAAAAACTCACCGGTTTTTAAATAAAAAATATTCTAATATTTGAGGGTAGTTTCACGCCCTTAGAATTCGAGTTTCGAAAAATCCCTTCTTATTGAACCTCTACACCCTAAAGTCAATCCGTTTTCCAAAAATCAGCAAATCAAATTAATCAATCACCAGATTTTTCAAAACACCCTGTATACATTTTTAAAAAATCTTAAAATATTATTCTGAAAATTTTTCAGAATAAATAAATACCTAAATATTGAAACTTAATAAGTAAGTACTGAAACATACAGTGCCATAATATCTCGACCTCCGCCCGTTATGCTCGTAACAGGTTGAAAAACAATGTACTATCTAAAATAACTGATGCGTTATTCTCCAAACTGTTTCGAACCTCCATCGACAATCGACCGATGCAGCAGCGTTCCTTTCCCACCTCGATTATCTCGACCACCGCCCTGTTATGCTCATAACAGGTTGAAAAACAACGTGTCTAAAATGACTGCTTCTCCAACCTGTTGCGAGCCTCCATCGACAATCGACCGATGCAGCACCTTTCCTTTCCCACTCCTGTTATCTCGACCGCCAGGCGTTATGCCCGCAACTGTTTCAAAAACCTGCTTCTTTTATATCCTATTATTTTTAAGCGGTATCGACCGAAGCAGCTACGTTCGCCAAACGTATTCCCACCCACTGTCCGTTGTCCGTTGTCTCGCCGCCTGTATCGATGGTTGACCTTATTACAGTTCATTGGTCCTAGTAATTTGTCAATTGTATAATTTGCTAATATGCTGTTGCAATGATCGTATACCAATATTGTTTACATTAGTCAGCCTTTACGTATGTATTTTGGTAACCCAGATAATATACCGTTTGGGTTGGTGACAGTGCTATTGTACATTCAATTGTTAGTCTTCAATAAACACGGATTAAAAGTAAGAAGTTATGTTATAATAAAAGATATAATATTATACAAGAATCGGTTTTCACCTTAGATAGAGGGACTGTCTCAAATCGCAAAATTTCGAAAAGGCTCTGTAGCTCAGAAACGAAGAGGGCTATAAAAAAATTTACAGCATCTTCTGTTTGAGAAAAAAGTGGGACAGGTGTATGCAAATCGCATCCTCCTATCTTTACTAATAACGGAGATACCGCATTTCAACCAAAATGGGACACCCTGTATATTCTTGGTATCTCATTAACTGGGAGTTGGAGGAGTGGAATTTCCCTTTTGACGGTGTAATGCTCCTGATCTGACAATTCTCCCAGTACTGTTTCCGTCAATGACCTATTTATTATCACATTAGCATATCTACCGACGACAATATGCAGTTCTGTCATTAACTGGTTATAATATGTCAAGTACCTCTTCTTTATGATGCGCATTAAAATAGAGGAAAGGGATTTAAAATAATCAAGCCTGTTGTGTTCACACCAAGAATACATTATCTTTATTAATATTGTTAACTTTAAATTGGTAATTTTTCAGGAAGACCATTAAGGCCGAATGATGATATTGGGAATAAAATAGATACATCTAAAAATGATCGCTATCAACCTGACGGAGGGGGCTTAAGTTTAGAAGATACTGGTAGTACTACTGATAATTTGGGATTCACTAGACCCACCGTAAAACCAACGATATTTCCTGGAAGCAGTACTACTCCTAGACCGGCCTTTAATTCTAATGAAATCACAAGCAAAGACGAAACCTCATTTGATTTTGGTGATTTATTTAACAATTATGACGGCAGTACTACAACAATTAGACCTGGTGGAATTCCTAGTAGGCGACCCGCAGGTAGACCGTTTAATAGGCCTACTACTACAAAACCTACAAAAAAACCTTTTTCAACGGTTGACGAGGATGATGGATTTTACCGACCTAACGGTGATAATGGATCATATAAACCTGAGTATGGAAGCTCGTCATCCCTTGGTACCGGTAGTTCCACTACAACGGGACCAGGTATATGATTTAATTACTATTTAAAATAAAAATATTTCTTGCCATGTAACTGCTGTTTTGTAAAATATTTAAAAATACTGAAAAACTGAAAATAACAAAAAGGCATGTTTGTTTGCCATTATGGGGAAACCAACCACCCTTTCGTTACCGGTTTCGGGGCCTATACCACAAATTACCTATAACAGATGCGAAAGAAAGCGACTGCATCGGAAACCGCTCGGCAAACCCGACACGTCTATTGAGTGGTGTAAATACACCAGTCGTTTAGTCCGGTAACCTATGCTGTGTCGTATTCGCTTGCTGGAATGACATAGTGCGTGGTTATATGTTTCTTTTTAAAAACGCGAGTAGGATTTTTGTTGAACTTTTGAACTGTTATTTCTAAGTTTTGGTAATTTGTATATCTTATTTTAAATGGGATGCAAATGTGTTTATTTATAAGGAAAAACAAGATATTTATAGTATAAAAAATTAATTTATTTAACAAAATTTAATTAAAAATGTGACAAAATAGTTACCTTTCTATTGGTTCTATCGGACTTTTTTCGACTATATAAATCTTTATTTGTAAACTTTAATACATCAAATATTTTCAATCTAATAAATCATTAAATGATGTAAATAAGAGGAAATTTCTCACATGGGTGGTCAAATTTTATAGTTTTCATTATATCAAACAGCCTCTGAGAAATGTTTTCAACTCAAAATGCCTTTAATTATGTTTGACTACATCATTAAAAAGAGTCTTCAAATACATCAATGTGATATTTGTCTAAAATTTGCAAAAGAATCCGAATCTCTGGATAACTCGAAATTATTTACCCATTTAAAAGCCTTTGATCATGAAAGTGGAAAAATTTGTTCATTTTATTTACAGGCTGGAAAATTATTTATATTAAATTTTAGTTTTGCTCTGAAGAAAACATTCAGAGGCTGTTTGATATAATGAAAACTATAGAATTTGACCACCATGTGAGAAATTTCTCTTATTTACATCATTAAATTATTTATTAGATTGAAAATATTTTATGCATTAAAGTTTACAAAAAATAAAGATTTATATAGTCGAAAAAAGTCCGATAGAACCAATAGAAATGTAACTATTTTGTCACATCTTTAATTAAATTTTGTTAAATAAATTAATTTTTTATACTATAAATATCTTTTTTTTTCCTAATCTCCTACGAGCTGATATAATATGACGAGCAATCTATTAAATTACTGTGAGATTATACAGAAAAGTCCACAGACTTCGAGACATAGGAAAATCAAGTCCATTTAGCGTGTGTCCAAATTTTGACAAGTTTTCAAAAATGACAGTTTTGTTTAGACTGACGTTTAATTTCACCTGACTTCTCGGTGAATGATTTCTTTTTATGGGGGTACATAAAATCTAAAATTTACGGCCATGAAGAAATTCAAAACTTGGAGCAGTTAAGGCAGAAAATATTTAATGCCTTTGACACTGTCACCCCTGATATGTTATCCAATGTGAGGAGGGGATTTTATGATCGTTTGGGTTATTGTTTAATGCAAGAGGGAGGCACTTTTGAACAATTTTTGTAATTTTTTAAATTTCATTATCCTGTTTTTTTACCGTTTACCCATTACCTACCTTGACGAACATGGGAAAACGAAGGTCCTTTTCAGGACCACAAATATTTTGATTGAGAAAATTGGTAACTTTTTTTTGGATTAAAAAACAAAAGTTGTTAATATAATACCAATTTAAAAGTGTTTTAGTAGTTTTAATACACACTATGATATAAAATTTATTATTATTATAATGTACATTATTAATACTATTGTTCATTCGAAATGGCATTAAGGCCCAATTGCAACAATGATTTAAATTTTTCTTAAAGATAAGTAGAGCTTAGAATGAGCTGTATTTATATTTACTTTATATTCACCTTAAATGAGGGAATTTGACTGATACAATTTTTGAATTTGAATTGTTTTTAATGATACTAACAATTTTAGTTCAATTTTTAATAAAATTTATTTAATATTAATAGAAGTCCAAGAGATTTGAAACCTCTTTTCGCGATTTTTTCAGATGTTAACATTCTCAAATGAATTACAGGTGCCCTTATTTTCTATGAAAATCACACAGTTTTTTTTCATAGTCGCTGCAGTTGCTATAGCTATAAAAAAACAAATTTTTTAAAGTGTGAAAATTGCGACACACGCTAAATGGACTTGATTTTTCGTATATCTCGAAGTCTGTGGACCTTTTTGTATGCCTCGATAACATATTGGTGCAGATTATTTTCACCCAAACAAATAATAACCCAAACTATACATTGATGCGGATTGTCTATGAACTCTTTCTGAAGGTCACAGAAACCTGAACGCGTAATTCGGTGTTCTTTCGCATCTGTTATAGGTAATTTGTGCCTATACCCTATCGTCAGACGAGCTAAACGGGTTGAATTTACCAGAACGGCAAACAAACAAATTACTATATCAACTGACGACTTAGTTTAGTGTCGGTGAGTCATTAGATAAAGATCTAATAGCGCCAGTACAAAGATGGAAAGTAGCATTTTCAGGCGGCTCCATAAATATAAATAAAAAGTGAAAGGTTCTTGCAGTATCAATATGTAATATTTAAAATAAAAATATTTTTCCGCCATATAACTGCTGTTTTGTAAAATCTTCAGCTTTCAAAAAATAATAAAAAACTGAAAATAACAATTTTGTTTATGGGGAATTCCCCATAACGGGCAAACAAATATAACTTTATGGTTTTTTTATTTGTTATTTTCGGTTTTTCATTATTCTTGAAGATTTTACAAAATATCAGTTATATGGCAAGAAACATTTTTATTTTATATATTACATATTGATAGTGCAAGAACCTTTCACTTTTTATTTTGATTTAATTACGTGGTCAATCGCTGATAACGGTCAGAAATTTACCACTGAAATGTTTAAATTTAAGTAAAATAAAGTAAAGTTCTAAATTAATGCTACCTAGAAAATAAAAGAAAATATATTATCTGTAATATTTATTGCATCAATACTTAAGGGCATATTGTATAAAAACAGTTAATTTCTTCAGTAACAAGTCTGTATAATTATGTATTTATATATAATCATATTTTTTTCCTTTTCTTGCATATGAGGATTTTTAATAAATTGAAAGATGCAAACTTTTTTTATGCGATGTTTCGCTCCAACATAGTGGGCTTTTTCAGGCCCTTTATTCTAAAAACTTGAAGTCGCCTTGCTAGCACCAGTCTGTATAAATGAGTGTGATCAATATTTATATATAATACGAATTTAACATCTAATGGTGCAATACCTGTATTTATAACCATCATGATTAATACATATTATTTATTATATTTTTGAAACATACAAAAAATAAATTGATTGGAACATATACAGGGTGCTACAAATTCGAGGTACGAGCATTGGTATCTCGGTAACCGTAATAGATACGAAAATGGTTAAATTGGAGCAAAGTTGCGTATTGGGATGTTCACCAAGATGCCATCAAAAAAGTTTTAAAAATTTCAAGGATTGCTGAGTTTTTTGTAAAAAATTGATTTTTTTGAAAATCTATTTTATTTTTTCATATCGTTACTTTTTAGAAAATCAAAAAACCATCTGCACATTCTCATAGCCACTTTATTAGGGCTATCTGATCGTATTTTTAGATTTTCAAATTAGCTGATAATTTGTGAGATACAGAGGCCAACTTAATTCTTTTAAATACGGATCTGCATTTTTTATTTCAGATTTTCAAAGAAATCGATCTCCTGAATACAATGATATGCCACACTTTATACTTTTTTTTTGTTTTGTTTACCTCAACAACAACAAAACTATTTAATAATTATTATTTAGAATAATTTCAAGTCCGACTCTGGTTTCTTAAATTATTTAATCTGATTATATTCATTCCAACAATATTGATCAGCGCTAAATAACACTGAATAAGGAAAATCAAGCCAATTCGAAGATTCAAATAAATAATATCCAGGTCAGAAATTTAAAGATATTATTTTTAACTTTTTTTTATTGTGAATTTGAAATCTCAGTGTGGCGATCTAATAATATGCATAATATTAATCGTAGTTATAAATAAATCAACTTCTACAAACTAAAAAATTCGAAAATTTCTCTTGAATCTATTTTCATTCAACCAAGTGCAAGTTACTTTGTTTCAACAAACATGGCTATTTTTCCAATAGCTGAATACTCTTTTGATGAAAAATAATAACGACACGCAAAGACGATGACGAAGGACGGTATATACAATCAGTCGGCTGTTCGATCAGTCGTACGTCGCATTTCATAGGTCGCACATCATAGTACGCACGGGTTTTGTTGCTTGGAATTTTTCACTTGGAATTTTGCATAATTTGCTTTTTAAACGCATATCGTATAACAAATTAGTGATCGTTATTAACATGCATTTGTCATTTTTTATGGACAAATTTTAGGATATATGGATTCTTTAAAGGAGTTTCTGAAAAAATGGAAATTAGAGCATTTATTTGCTATATTTGAAGGTAAGAGACATTTACCTAATGCACCTGTTTAGATAATGCATGCGTGACTATAGATTTTTTTATGCAAATAATTACAAAAATTTTAGAATTTCAAGTCGTATTAAAAAATTCAAAATGTGACCAAAGCTTATAATTTTAATAATGTGTTTGCTTTATTTTAATTAAACGTGATGTAACATTTTTTTGTAATTTGTAGAGTGATGAACCACCCCAAAAAATACCAAGGAGTGATGAAGAAGCAGAAATAACTACTATCGAGGAAAATAATATCACTTTACTTTACTACAAACCAGGACAACCTAAATTTATCAGAAAATAATATACCTCGTAATATGCCTGTGTATAGACTTCTCTTAGATCAAAATAAATTTTAGTTGAGTCAATGGTATTCGCTATTGGTTTAAGAAAAGTGTCTCTTTAATCAAGAAATGTCCCTTTTCAATCAAGAATTTTTGCATGAATCAAAGACTATTGTTCTTATAGCAAGAACTTCTTTGCATATTAATTTTGGGTCAAGAGTGAAATACTTTGGACAGATAGATTCTTCTATTCTCTAAAGTATTTTTTTAAAGCTTATTAAAAGATAGTTAATGCTTTGGGCAAAGAAACGTCGTTCTTGGCCCTATTGAAAAGCGCCAATCTTTTGGGTCAACGTCATATTCATTTCGACTGAGAGATCCTTTTTTTCAGTGTAAGAAAAAATTATATATTAAACACACTGTTGTAATATTATTAGATAGTGCCCCTCCCTAATAGCTAGGAGGTTAATGGTTGACAGTTGATACTGGATGCCAGATTATTCCTACGCATCCTAATTATTGTTAAACTATTTTATATTTAAATAATAAACCTATATCATTAAACAGTCAAATTTGAAATTTATCTCATAGTCAGTGGGAAAAGTGAAAAAGATGAATTGCTTTGTTACTAAATCTAATGGGTGGAGAAGGGATAGAAGCCTACAACACATTAAAATTAACAGAGACACTAACATCTCATTTTCAAACATTACTAAATGAACTGGAGAATTATATGACTCCAAAAAAAAAACGTCGTATATGAAAGGTTTCTATTTTACTCAAGGAAACAAGAAGTCATTTTGATGACATTCGCCATTTCTATACTGATTTGAAAAAGTTTTCAAAAAACTGCGAGTTTGAGCAGTCAACTGATTCCATGATCGGAGATAGGATTGTTTTGGATATAAAGTCGAGGCAAGTCCAAGAAAAAACTACTTAATGTGCTGAACAAGGTGCTGAAGCTAAAGTTGAAGTTGTTAAAAACAAAGCGAAGAGAGTACAAAGGCATGGCAATACTGAAGAGAAAACATTAATAAGTTGTAAAAGCCGTGGAAAGAAACATGAAAAAAGAAGATGCCCAGCATTTGGCAGAAAGTGCAACAAATATAGGCGCTATGGACATTTCGAGAAGATGAGTAGAAGCACAATGATGGTGAAGGAGTTACAAGAAAGTGAAGAAGATGAAGAACTCTTAGTATCTGATGTGACAGTGAGTGAAGTGAAAAGTGAATCGGAGTGGATAGAGATATTAAAATTTAGTAAGCAAAATATTAGGTTTAAGGTAGATACAGGGGGTCTCAGGTTAATTTGATTCCACATAATATACTTAAAAGTATTAAAAATCAAAATATTGCATGACAAAAAACAAAATTGGTACTTAAAACCTATGGAGGTTTTAAAATAACGCCTATATAGGTGTAGTAAAATTAAAATGTAAATTTAGAGATAAGGTTTACACAATACAATTTGTTGTTGTAAAAGATAAATCTATGCCTATTTTTAGTCTTTAGGGTGTATAAATTTCTTCGTCTCAAAAATTATATTATGGTGATATAATTAAAACTTTGATGATATTCCGGGAGTGATAGTTTACTTTGACGATATTCTTATAGCGGCTGATACGACAGAAAAACGTGATAAAATATTAACTAGTGTTAGGAAGAGCAAAGAAATATAATGTCAAATTTAACAGCTCTAAAATTCGGTATAAAGTAAGAGAGGTGATTTATTAAGGAAATATTTTTGACAGGGAGGGTATGAGGCCTGATAGAAATAAAATTAAAGCAATACAAAATTTGGAACAACCAAAAAATAAGAAAGAATTACAAAAACTCCTGGGAATGATTAATTATTTAAGAAGGTATATACCCAACCTGTCAGAGATATCTGCACCACTGCGAACATTATTAAAATAAGTGACTAATAACACTGACTGGATATGGACTGATAAACAAACAACTCGTTTTAGTCAAATTCAAAAAGAAATGAATGCTATACTATATTCATGCCAGAAATATCACAGTTATATTTACGGTAGGAAGGTTAAAATACTAACTGATCACAAACCCTTAGTATCAATAATGAAAAAAGGTGTTGCAGATGTAAGTTCTCCAAGATTACAAAGAATTAAAGTAAAATTTTTGAAATATGACATTGACGTTCAATATTTACCAGGAAAAGATATGCTTATAGCAGATCTTCTCTCAAGAAATTATATTAAAGATAATATAGGTAGTGATAATACATTTTTGACAGAAATTGTTCACTCAGTAAATGTAACTGATGATAGATTAAAGGTCTTTCAAAGTGAAACGAGTAAAAATTTTGAACTGAAATTATTAAAGGAAATTTGTTTAAAAGGCTGGCCTAAAACGATAACTAAAACACCTAATGATAGTTTGTTTCTAGGATAATAATTGTTCCAAAGACTTTAAGGACAGATATGCTTAAACAACTTCATGCAAATCATTATGGTATCACTAAGACACAAAAAAGGGCTAAGTCTTTGTTGTATGGACTAGGAATAAATAAAGATATTAAGGAATTTATAAAAAAATGTAGGGGAATTGTGAAGTGTATCAAAAGAGTACCATAAAAGTCTTTTTATGGACTCCGTAAAACCGGAGGTTCCTAAGGCTTCATCAAAGTTCGTATTTGTATTTGTATCCGTATCAGAATCAGACATCTGTTGTGATTGTGAAGCATGTAAAGCTAGCGGTGCAATCTTTTAATACATTTATTATTTTCTGAATTACGGTTTGCTCATTTTCGTTTTCACCAGTAAATAAGCCAGCTTTATATCGCGGATCTAAGGCTGTGGTCATTAAGTAGAGATTATTTTTTTCAATGAAACTGAAGCGATTCTCTAGTCCTCTTAATAGTTCCTTTACTAGCATTTTTTAGAACGATTTGACACAAGAAAAAAGTATCTGACAGATACTTTGGTATCTGAAGTACTAGGTAGAGGCGAGTATCGGAAAATAGTCAATATCGGCCGATACCCGATACTGAGTATCGGTATCGGCCCAGCCCTAATAAAAGAGCCCATGATTTTGAGAAAAATACCTGATTTGCCACTTCAAAAACTAGCAAGTGACATTTTAGAGTGGGGAGGTCAGTCATATAGCAATGATAAAAGTATTAACCTAAATCGGGCAACTGACAAAAGCAGGAGGCCTGTTGAACTGCCTCAGCATTTTAAGGATTTACAGATGTATTAGCTTTACTATAATTTACTAGTAAAAGGGGAAGGTTAAAAGTAATATTATTAGAAAGTGTCCATCCCTAATAGCTAGGAGGTTAATGGTTGACAGTTGACACCGGACGCCAGATTATTCCTACGCATCCTAATTATTGTTAAACTATTTTATATTTAAATAATAAACGTATATGATTAAACAATCGTAGTTTAAATAATATTACAATTGTTGGTGATAAAATTGTATTGTATATTATAGATTTTGAAGAAGACCGAATTAAAATTGGTCGAAACGTCAACCATTAAATAAAATGTAAACAAAAGTTTCGTTTTATTATCTACTGACTTAAAACCAAGATTTTAAAAACTTAAAATAGTTATGTGTATGTATGATTATAATTTGTAGAATTTGAAGGATACCCTTCTGGCAGGCCTAGTACTCCGGGGCTTTTTGAAGGCGAAAGTGGTAGACCGTTCGGAAATAAAGTAAGCAGTAATGACTATGACGGGACTAGTGGTCTTGACAGTTTCTCAGGTGTGATAGGAGTCGGAGGTAAATCATAGAAATTAAAATATTTAGATTATTTCATTTTTTATATTTTGCCAGTTACAAAATAAATAACATAATTAGCGCAAAAAACATATAGAATATTAATTCTATAGGGTATATGCAATTAATATTCTTTTATCATTTCTATCAACGGTTTCAACTAATTCAATACCCAATCAAATTATTTTAAAAAAACCATCGGTGGAAAAAATTCCCATTGTTTTGAAAATGGTTTTAAACGATTCCTCTATACTTGAGCTGATATGTGTCAAAAATCCCCGAAGATAGACGATGAGTTCGAGGAGAGGGAGCCCCTCCCCCCGAAGATAGATGCTATCTATAGAGATAGATCGATCTATCCCTGATGATAGATGCTCGAGGAGTGTGGAGGAGTTAAATGTCAATTTTTTCAATTTTTTGCTTATATTTTGGAAACTATGACATTTACCGAAAAACGCTCTATATATAAAAATAAAGCTGTCAAAATTCTCTAGAAAACTGATTCTATACATTTTTGTTCCCGGACTTATGGTTTCCGAACTATGCCCTGTGTACAACACATTTCTTTTCATTGCACGTTTTTCGTTCAAATAGTGTTGAAGAAGTACGTCATGATGTTTAAGACCTAAATTAAAAAAGTAAGCGATACATGCATTATTAGAAATAGTAAATTAAAATCACCAATCATCAAAGTTGGAGTTAAATGGAAGAGCAGAACATAATAATTTATGTTCTGAATTTCGCTCCATTTTCGGCTGAATTTGTATTATTCTGTTATGTTCATTGTGTTTATTATATAATTACTTGGCTCTTGTATTTATTTTTGTGGGAAATAAAGACAATTACAGACATACATACATACATACATACATCACTTTTTATTAAATACAAATTACTTGTCTAGTTTTAGACAAGTATTCGTTTGGATAATGTGAAATTATATAGATAATTTGAAGGTATGGGAACTCATTTTATGTGTATGTGGATATCATTACGTATGTATGTATCTCCGGTTTTACAGCGTCCTTCGTCGCCCTTCGGTCTCCATGCGCCACCTCCGTCTATTGTCCCAATCTCCTGGTAGTAGGTTCCTTTCCGATATGGCTCTGTCGATTCCTTGATTCCAGGAAAGTTTAGGTCGGCCTCGTTTACGCCTGTCTGTAGGGGTCCACTGCAACACTTGCTTTGGTATTCTATCGTCAGCCATTCGTTGTACATGGCCGTACAACTGCAGTTGTTTTTCTTGTATATCTTTTACAATGTTACCCTCCACCTTAATTTTTTCACGTATTCTCTCGTTCCTAATTCTGTCTAAACGGGAGATTCGGGCTGATCTTCGCCAGAAGTCCATTTCGGTCGACAACAACTTCTTTTTTTGTTTTTGGCTAAACTGCCATACCTCAGAGCCATATAACATTACGCTTTTCAGAATCGCGTTATAAATCAGTTTTTTTCTGTGATCCGAGATATCCCTAGACCAAAGCACCAAGTTCAGCGCTCCTATCACCTTTCTGCCTTTACCAATCCGTTCTTCGATTTCCATTTCGCATCTCCCTTTGCTTGCGATTTTTACCCCTAAATACATATATTCTTCGCAAGCTTCAATTTTTATATTGTTATTTAATACTAGGTCTTCCAACTCGCCACCAACATCTTATCTTCTTTCTTCTTGTTTAGCTCCAGTCCCCATTTCTCGTACTCCTCTATCAGTTTTCTGGTCATGTATTCTAGGTCTTCTTTGTCTTGGGCCATTACTATCTGGTCATCGGCGAAATGCAGAGTGTACAGAGAAAGGTTGTCATTAATAGGTATTCCCATCTGAGAGCACTTCTTGCGCCAGTGCTTAAGAGCTTCTGATAGGTAGATTTTAAATAAAGTTGGGGACAGACAACAATCTTGTTTTAGACCGTTTGATATTGGGAATAATTCAGATAGAGTTGGGCCTATTTTAATTCTTGCGGAACAATTGCAGTAAAGTTGCTGTACCGCTTTTATTAGTGTTATATTTATTGGGCTTTTTTCGAGAACTTCCCATAGTTTCTTAATTGGTACCGTATCATAAGCCTTAGTAAGGTCCACAAACAGGAGATGAATTTGGTCGTTATTCGTTGCCGTCTTTTTCTCAATGATCTGAGTTATTGGAAAGATATTATCAATGCATGAGCGGCCTGCTCTGAACCCGGCTTGTTCTTCAATCTCATGGGGGCTAAATTCATCTTCTATTAGGGTTTTAAGAATTTTTCCGTACAGTCTGCTAAGAGTGTCAGACATAGGATATCATTATTGTATTCAATTATTGTAGGTTGCGAAGATCCAGAAATCACACTTTCATATGCGCTTTTAAGACTCTTTGAAATTCTGCGAGGGAAGACTGATACTATATTGGCGAAATGAATTGGGTAGTGCAGATAGGTAAATATTACACTTACGTTAACTGTACCTACAGGAAGAGATCATGCAGAATATCATCGCAATATACAACCTCAGGGAACGACCTCAAATGCTAATGCCAAAAATGCTTCGTGCTACTTTAACATTAGAAAAATATACTGCAGGCGGGGATAGAAATCTTCAACTCTGAGCAATCATGGACCATAAACCATGATTCTTGATTTTCGTATACTTTCTACAATATTTGCAGTTGCGCTAAATGCTGTGGTATACTTTTTACCGTAAAGCAGGCATGCATTAATCTTTAACTTGCTGTTATTATTAAGTCCTGTGTGCACTAGTGCTCCCCAATGGAAGACAAAAAGTCACGATGCAATGAAGACTTGAAAGATAACATAAGGACTCTTTAATATTACAATTATTAATATGAAAGGTTAAATTTAGACTTTAATTGGATTTTAAATGGCGAAAATACAATATGAAAAATAGTGTTAATTTTGTCAACCCTGTAACTCTTAAAAGGTTAGACCTATGAAAAGTTAAAAAGTCATAAAAGTGACATTTAACCTCTCCCTTCTCCTCGAACTCATCGTCTATCTTCGGGGACTTTTGACACATATCAGCCCAAGTCTAGAGAAATCATTTAAAACCATTTTCAAAATTTTATCTGCAGAATATGTTACCGAAATTTCCCGATTACTATTCGGACAACACAGTATTCCGCAGATGTAATTTTATGTTAAAAAAATTTAGCGTATATTATTCATTTTTCTTAGATTTAATATATACGCACGTAAAAGCGGATTTTTTTTTCAATAGAACTAAATATTATAAAAAAATGTATTGATTTTCTTATATTACGGTTAATTAATTATTACCTAATATTAAATTAAGATTTATCATAACATAAATTTAATATTATATTGTGATTTTTTAGGAAAGCCAACTTGTCCCAAATGTGCAGGAACTATTGTTACTAATATTGGAGATCGTCCATTCAATATTCCTCCAGGCGTGTCTGTGCGGTAATTATACTTATTAATTTTTACATTGTTACATTTTTACATATTAAATATTCGAAATAATAATAAAAATAAAGAATAAATATACATGGTGTTAATAAGATGTGTAATGAGAAAAAGTTAGACTTTTATAACTCTAAGTTTTTATAAATCTGATATACACCCACCGACACTTTAAAATCATCATGTATTTTCTTTTCAAGTTTTAATTTTAGTGTTCTAGTAGACAGATTTTTATGATTTTTTAAGCAATTTGCGGCTAAATTATTTGACTTTTAGTACCTCTTTCTAAATTAAAAATGACAGTTGCCATCTGTCAGGGAAAACAAAATGTTGATATTTTGATGAAAATTTTAAACACCCTGTGGATTATGTTAACCAAAGCAAGGGATTTAAAAATAATTTTATCATCTAATTGTATCATTCTTGATAATTTCTTTTTGATTCATCTCAACAGCTTTATCTTTTTTGGAGATATTCGCTTTTAAAGAAGGCATTAACATTTTTTTGTGTTTGTTACATTAAAACCATACCTTTGATTTTGGTCCTAATCAACAGTAAAATTCCAATTTTATACAGACGAGGTCGCGGGAAAAAACTAGTTAAAATATAGTGTTTCACTTTCTTACAACATTTTACATATCTTGATTGAAATGTTGCAGTAACATAAGAATAAAGAAGTTATAAAAGGATTGCTTTAAAGAAAAAGAGAAACCTAAAAATAAAAACAGTTTAAATTCTACATCGGGGTAGGTTAGGTTAGGTTGCTGAGGTTTGGAATCATGTTTGATCCCCCACTCGGAAGCCTTGGCCCCATTGCGATACCCCTGTATTGTTGTACCAAACCTTCCCCTCATTCTTTCTTTGCGTTAAAGCACTTCCAGCTTTCTGCAAAGTTCCCAATGTCGCTGATGTTGGCTTCTGCTGCTTCCTCTAGTCCCTCCAAAAAACCTTGCCCTAAAGTTTTAAAGCGTCGGTATTCCAGTGCCGGACAGTGGCACAGCAGGTGCTCTATTGTTCTTTCTTCCTCTCCGCATTCTCTGCAGTAGTCGTCGTCGGAAACTTTCCATCTCACGAGGTTTACCCCCGTGGGACAGATTCCAGTGACGACACCTACAATTATGCGTACTAGGTCCTTTTTGTGCTCTAGTAGTTGTTTTGTCTTTCTGCTATCTACCTCTGGTCATAGTCTTCGAGCTCTAGCGCAGTCCTCACGGTGTTGCAACGTCTCTTGCTGCTTGGCCGTGGGGGTATCATTTGCTTAACTTGCAACACAAGTTTCCAGTAAATTATTAAATCTAGAATGGATATAATGGCACTTCTGTTACTATTGGTTGAAGTTGATAGCAAATTTCTTAGGTTAAAAGGGTACCATTATAATTTTTTCGCTTAGATTTAAAATTACTGCAAAATATGAAGAATATTGAAATCAAACACTCTGGCCATAAAATTTGCCGTTTTCGAATTTTGAAAAAATATAGTTTTTTATCAAAAATATTAATTTTAGATACAGTGTTTATCATCCAAATTCGGCAAATTTTAAACAGAATTTAAATAAAAAAAGAAAAAAATGGTGGTACCTACCATTTAAGTATCCAAATGTATGTTTTGCTTACCATGTTAGAATAATCCGGACATGATGAAGATTTATGATTAGAACAATTTTATGTATCTGCCAATGATACCAACAAGATTAGCGAAAAGTGCATTTATAGTATACAATACAGTGTTTAGGTGTATTGTGTTCAATTAATGTACTGTTCTGTTGTAACGCCAAAGGTTTCAATCTAAATTGGAATTCTTTAAACATTTGTGAGTTTGATGTCCCCCGATTGTCTTTTCAAGAGGAAAAACTTTTTTATTATTGACATATTGAGAAAAATGTATTCTACATAAACATGTTTGCTTGTTCTAAAATGGTTAATCACGTTTATCCTTTTCCATATGTCCATACCTTTTTAGACAAAATTAAGTTTCTGTGGTAATATTAATTCGATTACATTCCGTGATAGATTAATTTTGATTAAAGTCATATTCTTTGCTGTTAAAATTATCACATTTTCCGATAACTATCATCACCCGTACAGTAGCATCGACCTAAATAAATTTTGTACATTTTCATAATTTTAAAAGAACAAAAAATATTACGTTAACTAAAATTTTATGAATTGAATAACAATCTATCAAAAAATGAAAACAAAGTTATATTACCATAGAACGCCTTAATTCTTAGGAAAACATTTAAGCTTCATTCAGAACGTCCCAATTAGTGGTTTCAACTACACTTTATACTTTTTAGTTTACGATCATTCACAAAGTCTAAAAAACACAATTAAAATTAATAAAATATCCTAGCTACAGCTTGCGGTAGTCTGTTGTATCTATAGAGAAAGCCTAATATTTAGCTTATAAAAGAATAAACTTTTGATTTCTAACCAAAATTTTTCTTGACGGGTGATAATCAAAGGCCAAAATGACATTCCCCGCAAATTTTGAAGTATAATTAGTGGAAAAGTCAAAAGTTTGTTAACTTTTTCCAATAATTGAAGATTACTACTAGCGATGGGAACTATCGAATGAATTAGACTATCGAATGGTTAATGAATGAATGATTTCAACTATCGAATAGTTTTATTCGAATAAAATCATTCGTTCATTTGTATACTAAAGCATATGTGACAACCTCGCCGTGCGACTAAATGGTTATCGGTGAGCCACGACTACCTATCGAATGCTTTTGATAAATGAAATTTAGTATTCGTTTGATTTTTGTATGCGTCAGTGGCATTATTAGTTCTTCCAAATTTTTATAACTTCGCCGTATAAATACTGTACTATTTTTGCGTTTATTAAAATAGTTAAAATACTAAAATAGTAGTTATTCTTTAATTTTTTTTTATTGACGATTGTGTGCATGTGCAGGTGGTCAAAATTTTTCCGAAAATTTGTGTGGTTTTCCGTAGTCCGATCTTTCAATTATTTAATTTTATATGGTATATGGTCTATTTTTTAATGGGAAATTTTGAGAAGTAGCAATTTTTAAGAGAGATGAGATGAACTTACAATTAATTTTAAAAATACATATTTGTATATACTATCCTAACTAACTAAAGCCAAACAAAAATATTCTTTGCTAATATAAGAATATATAAACAAGGCTAATATCAGCTAATACCAAAATATATGGCAACAGCGCCCTTCATAATGTATTTTCTGTGTAAATAGTAGCGCCTCAATAAAAAAATAATGTGTCCTTATCTATATCTGACTCCGCAAAAAATCAAAGATGCCGGCTTCTTTCATAGCGTTGCCACCGACCGCTGTCGGGTTTCTCGGAAAGAAACCTACGTCGCCGGACGACAACTAAAATTCAGTTAATATTTTATTAAAATCGATCCTGACGAATAAATGAATTTCATAAATGAATGAATTTTATAAATGAATGGTTTTTGCTGCCGAATTACTAGAATACATATTTCAAGGCAGATGACTGGATCTATTCGATAATTTTTATTCGAATAGTTTTCAACGAATGTTTTCTTAGTAACTATCGAATTATTCGAATGAATTGCAACTATCGAATGTTTCGATAGTATTCATTCGATAGAGAGAGAGAGAGAGAGAGAGAGAGAGAGAGAGAGAGAGAGAGAGAGAGTTCCCACTACTACATTACTACCACTAATTATGACGTTATAACAGCTTCATAATCTTCACTAAATTTTGTTTTTTTCTCATTAGAACCATTTTCCCCTATCTGCTAAAATAAAGTGGTAGGGGAAGGTTAGATCTATCTTTATTTAAATGTTAATAACTCCGGACTGGATGATCAGAATCCAACAAACGAGGGCTCGTTTAAAAGAGCATTTCGTACTCTATATTATACCATAAAAATAATAATAATAATGTTTTGAACGTAGACGCTAGAGGGCGCTTTCTTACAATTTAACAAACATAGCGCGTTTTTTCAAAAAAATTAAATACGATAGTATATGTAATTTTACCTGATAGTAAAGAGTAGTAAAAGCTTAAAAAATCAGCGAAAACCGCATCTTGATATCTTAATTCAAACTGAAGATATTCGCAAAATTATAATAAATACCAAAAAAATAAGCACTTAATTACCTTGTTTTTACAACCCGATATCAGTAGCCCTCTTGATTATGCCCATTCTAACAAAAAAATAAGATAGAAACAGTTAGTTTATTTTAAACATCGACGAAATACCAGAATACCATAATACCAGATGTATTAATGTCTAATAATGAAGATATTAATAACAGTGAACAAGAAACGATGATTCAGTGAAGTCATCGTAGGCTTTGGAAAAAAGTGCTTTGACGTAATAGTATAAACGTCAAATTGTTATTAGATCAATATGATAGTCTTAGCAGCGTTTTTTATCTTTTGATTGCTTTTTCAAAATGCCTTTATTATTTGAAGTAGTTGAAGTTGTTAGTACTTTGACAAAGCAATCAAAAGATAAAAAACGCTGCTAAGATTATCAAAATGTCGATCTAATAACAATTTGACGTTTATACTATTACCCCAAAGCAATTTTTTTCCATAGCCTACCATGACTTCACTGAATTGTCGTTTCTTGTTCACTGTTATTAATATCTTAATTATTAGACATTAATACATCTGGAATTATGGTATTCTGGTATTTCGTCGATGTTTAAAATAAACTAACTGTTTCTATCTTATTTTTTTGTTAGAATGGGCATAATCAAGAGGGCTACTGATATCGGGTTGTAAAAACAAGGTAATTAAGTGCTTATTTTTTGGTATTCATTATAATTTTGCTAATATCTTCAGTTTGAATTAAGATATCAAGATGCGGTTTTCGCTGACTTTTTAAGCTTTTACTACTCATTCCTATCAGGTAAAATTACATATACTGTCGTATTTAATTTTTTTGAAAAAACGCGCTATGTTTATTAAATTGTAAGAAAGCGCCCTCTAGTGTCTATGTTCAAAACCTTATTATTATTATTTTTATGGTATATTATAGAGTACGAAACGCTCTTTAAAACGAGCCCTCGTTTGTTAGATTCTGATCATCCAGTCCGGAGTTATTAACATTTAAATAAAGATAGATCTAACGTTCCCCCACCACTTTATTTTAGCAGATAGGGGAAAATGGTTCTAATGAAGAAAATCCAAAATTTAGTGAATATTATGAAGCTGTTATTTATAGCATCCATTATCTAGGCAAAATTCAGTAAAAATTCTATTTTCTTATTTTCCATAGCAGTTGGCGAGCAGCCGTTTTACAAACTTGAAAATAATTTCCAGCAATTTCTCATAGCCCTCTCAGTTATAAATATTTTTTTCCGTAGGCCCTACTGCTAATACTTTCCGAGATACAGCCGAGAGCTATTCTTAGTGGGACACCCTGTACAGTTACAGGATGGTCGAAATTGGTCTGTTTTAACAGAGAAGACCTTTTTCCTGACTAGATAGAGCAAAACCGACATAGATGCCATGGGCTCGATTTCTGAGACACGTTTAATGGCGTAAACCACCTGTCGATATTTTCACTGCCAACTGAACTACGGGGTCTTTTTGATTTTTTTACCATTTGACATCTATGTCGGTTTTGCTCTACCTAGTCAGGAAATAGGTTTTGTCTGTCAAAACAGACCAATTTCGACCACCCTGTACACAGCTAACAGATTAGCGAATATACGTTTAACCATATCTAACCACATGTTTTGTCCCATCTCAGCTCCAAACTACTTTACTTCATTACCACACCACGTGTGAAACGGTACTGAGTGGAACAAACTGATTTTCATAAGACTGTCTAAAACCGTATTTTTCTCTTACCCATAAAAATGACTTAAGGACAGACCTTAGCAATTTTCAGTTTTCTACCGCTCGCGCTGTGCCCTACAATTTTATGATAAAACACATTCTTTCCCAGTTTGAATTTGATTTCTTTTAAAAAAATACCTTTTTAAATCAACCAGTGCGTTAAAAATATAACTATAACTTTTATTTGTAGCACAATGTCTTAACAACTATGGTATTTAAAGAATTTATTTTATTTTACTTGCATAAATTTGTTTTCCAAGCTCTTCAAATTTCTACCGATTTCCCAAAACTCGGGTTTTTTACCTATCACTTTCTTTGTCTGTACCCTTCAATTTTTTGTGAATGAATTTTATATATCCTAGTTAAACGTTACTAGTTTAAACATACCCATTTTTGGTGAAATTATCTTAAAAAATGTTCATAATTTTATAAGTTTTAAGCGTATTAAATGCTTGACATAACTATTTTGATCTAAAAAACTTTATTGCAGTAAATTTGGATTATTAATATTATAATATATACAGGGTTGTTCACCACATACGACACGGAGTATTGTAGCTAAACGATTATATTTTTACAAATTTCAAGTTTTGGGTTCGATGAAGGACTATTAGAGGTACAATTTAAAAATAATTTGACAAGATACAGAGTGTCCCAAATAAGTAAAAAATATCAAAGTTGTATGTTTTTAAATGGAACACCCTGTATATTATTACATTTTTAGTTTCAACGATTAAAATAAAGGTAAATTTGATTAAGGTTTATTATACTTAAACCTTACCGTTTTTGAAATATTTTCAATTTTGGGAAATTGCAGTAAAAATTTTAAGGCTTCATTTCTTCAAGGGTATCAAAGTTTTTAATACTAAATATTTACTGAAGTTTATTTATTGATCAGTTATTGTGTTGCAATAATAAAAATAATACTACCTTATACAGAGTGTCTAAATATTTATTTTAAATAATTTCTAGCTTTAAACGCCAATAACTTCTTTAATTTAAATGGAACGCCCTGTATATTTTAGCAGAATCAGATGCACAATTTAATTGTCTATCAAACTGTATTATACCATTTTTTACCTATCCCTTATATTATATTATCCTTATAATTTAGACCCTATTTATCAATATACCCATGGAATATTGACATTTTAGATTGTTTTTAAAGCAACAAATGTACAAAATGTACAGGCTAGTAATATTATCGTTTTTAGCAAAACGATAATATTACTAGCCCATTTGTATGCAAAAAGAAAACTATTTAAATCTTTATAAAAGAGTATACCATTAATTAAATATAACACTATTATTTCCGCCCATATACTAATTAATTACATACTTAATTGTGTTCGTTAATAAATTATTCTAAATAAATGTGGATTTGAGTCAGAAATCAATATAATAATAAGTTATCAAAATTAAAGTCTCTGTTGTTATAAATAAGTATTTATTAAAAAATGAAATATATAATTTTTAAGGTGTTTCTTTTTATCACACTGTCTAACATCCATACAAAATTCAGTTTTTTAGTATTTGGAGCAATTATTATTAATCAACGCAAACAGTCAGTTAATGTAGTTTGAATACTGGAATCATATTAATTGGTCCCCTTTAACAAATATTTAAACAGTTTTTTTATTTTTTAATAAAATAAACAAATTATATCGTCAATATTAGTATCTGTACTCTTTAAAAATTTGGTACATCTTTAAAAATAATCTAAAATGTCAATATTCCATGGGTATATTGATAAATAAGTTCTAAATTACAAGAAAATGCATTTTCTACGGAAACTTAAAAGAGATAGACTTAAAAGAGATAGGTAAAAAATGGTATAATATAATTTGATAGACAATTAAATTGTGCATCTGATTCTCGTAAAATATACAAGGTGTTCCGTTTAAATTAAACAAGTTATTGCCGTTTGAAGCTAATAATTATTTAAAATAAATGTTTAGGCACTCTGTATAAGGTAGTATTATTTTTATTATTGCAACAAAATAACTGATCAATAAATAAACTTCAGTAAATATTTAGTATTAAAAACTTTGATACCCTAGGAGAAATGAAGCCTTAAAATGTTTACTGCAATTTCACAAAATTGAAAATATTTCAAAAACGGTAAGGTTTAAGTATAATAAACCTTAATCAAATTTACTTTTATTTTAATCGTAGAAACTAAAAATGAAATAATATACAGGGTGTTCCTTTTAAAAAAATACAACTTTGATATTTTTTTACTTATTTGGGACACTCTGTATCTTGTAAAATTATTTTTAAATTGTACCTCTAATAGTCCTTCATCGAACCCAAAACTTACAATTTGTAAAAATCTCATCGTTTAGCTACAATACTCCGTATCGTATGTGGTGAACAACCCTGTATTATTTTAAATCATAACAGTAAATTATATAATTTCAGAACCCACGTCCAATCAATAGATTTGTATCCATACGACACACAATCTCCAAGTGAAGCTTATGAATCAGATACGAAATTACAAAGGGAACAGTTAAATGCAGCATCAAGCACAGATCGCGAAATTAAAAAAGAATCTGCACAAGAACGAAAATTAGAAGTGGAAGAGACTGAAGAGAATGTTACAAAGGAATCGAATAAAGAAGAAACCACCACAGTGTAGAAACCGATGATGCATGGAATTAATTTATTACACATTATTAGTTTCATATTCCAGTACAATTGTGATAAAAATTAGAATCTACTGATGCTAATTACCGCTATAACTTAGGGTAAAAACATAGTGGAGCAGTTCACCTCGCCGCGCTGATCGCCATTTATCTTGCCGCGCCGGCGCCGTGGCGACGATACTTAGGCATGTCGCGCACGTGAGCGAAGCGCGACGCGGCGCAACGCGGGGAATTTTTGATAGGCGCGCTAACTTATGCACGGTTTTTCATACGCGGTTAGGTTAGGTTGTATTTAAAGTTATTTTGAGCTGACCCGTATTATCTCTTTCACGGTTTGATAAAGGTGTATAAATGAAACTTCATTTTGTCCTCAAGTTTCAGCAACAGTTCTGAGGGAGATTTTCTTATATAATGTACAATAGCTGAAAAAGAAATCTTGGGAAAAAAAGAGAAAATCTTGGATTCATAACATTAATATGAAAAGAAATGCGTATACGCAAATTTGCTGGAAGACAAAAGAAAATTAGTATAATATAGTATATACTTAACTTTACCTACTTGTAAAATTAGTATAATATGGTAAATAAATTATTATAGAATGACACACGAAAAATTTGCTGAATTTCTTTCTTTGTTAAGACCAACTATAGAGCGTCAGTTTTCAGTTTGTCTCAGGCAAGTTTTTAATAGTGCCTAAATAAAATTAATAGAGAATAATGTAATGCATACTTTTTTAAATAGGTAGATCTTTTTGTTATTCAAATTAAGTAATCCATACATTGGTAGAAAATATTTCATTTTATTTCTGATATAAAATAGCAATAATCGCTTAATTTCTTCACAGATATTGTCTCGTCTCAATTGGTTATGATAATTTGGGTCCCTAACATCATATAACTCTTTGTAGCTCTGTATGATCGAAATAAATGTTTCATCATCCATGATCTCGATACTTAAATTACAAGAAACAAACTCAAATAAACAAACCGGTTCTCAACTAAACATAACCTAAATGGCAATTAATAATACATTAATCGTAGAATCATTCATCCGAAGACAACCAAAGTAAATTTCGAAAATGAACGAAAACTAAGAAAGTTTCCGCTGACCACAGCGCACTAGGGCATGCGAAGCGCGCCGAAAAGAATTTCTTCGCTTTGGATTCCAGGGGTGCAACTTTGTTCAAGTTAGCAACCGATCGTTTAGAAGCGATGTCGAAACCAGATCGGTACTATGTTCATTGCAAAACTTTTGTCGCTTAAATGCTGCGAAATATGATATCACTATCACACTCTTGCACACGTGTGCGACACGTTCTAGGCTATGTCTAGGCAGTCGCCTACGAATCGATGTTGTTACTGAACATAGTGCCTCAAGCTACAAATTACTTTACTATCGCTTTGAAACATGAACAAAGTTGCACCCCAGATCTCTAACGAAAGTCGCTTAAGTGCGTGGCGCAAGCGGTTGCTTCGCTTGAGTCAGCGAACGTACATTATAAACATACATTTAATTCATTGCATGGGTTTTCCAATGCCGCGCTTCGCATAAGTGCGCGATATGCTTATGTTTGTAGATGCGCGAGGCGATATGAACGGCGAGCATCGCGGAGAAATAAACTGCCCCAATATGTTTTTAACCTTGGCCTCACAAAAAGTGTCATTAGACTAAAAACAATTACTAATAATTGTAGGATTCAGAAGTCAATCACCAATCCTATTGATATAATGAGTTTTAAAAAACAGGATTTAAAAAAATTAAATTCAATTTGTATGAATTCTTCTCATCTGTCTCTTCCTTAATATTAAAGGAATACGCAGACGAGAAAAGTCATACAAATTGATTTTCATTTTTCTAAATCCTGTTTTATAAACTTCATTATCTCAATGCAATTGGTGATTAACTTACACTGATTGACTTCTGACCCTCCAATTATTAGATCAGTTACAACATTGGACGTTAAGGCGCGATTCTCACTAAAACGTACTAGAGGTGGGCAAAGATTGAACGAGTCGTTCATTTGAAGGAGTATTAAAAACGAATCGTGAGATTCGATTCATCGCTTGCAATACGGTTCGTTCAATTGAATCGTGGCCAGCACGGATCCATTAGATTTGAACGATGAGCCGTAAAAAAGAATCGTGAGAATTAATCGGATCACAGTGATATAGGCATAGAGTCAGGCACCAATATTTAGACTTCAATAAAAGCCCTAAACAAACATAATGGGCATAAAATGCAAACGATAAGAAAGTTATTTACAAGAAAAAACTTATTTATACTGTGTTTAGTACGCGAGTATCTGTAAGGTATTTAATTTTCACGTTAATTATAATTATAATTTAACATTTTTGTTAAAATAATATTACCGACTATAAACCATTAAATGTCGGACTAAAAGACGAAATCGTGTTTTTATACAACTCCAAATAAATATTGTTGGCCTCTGCTCAATATGATAAAAAACGGCGTCAGCGATGGTTATAAAATGAAGATCGCTGTCATTTTATATGTAAAATTTTATAGGGAATGTGTCATCGATATTCATTTCCAAGCCAACTGGACACCATTTTTTTTCGATCATGCGGTGCTATATACTATTTATTATGATTATTAATTCGGAATTAAAATATGGCTCTAAAAATATTAAATTGGTATTAAGAAGTCTTTAATAAATAGTATATATGAATTGGATTGATAATTTAATATTATTGGTCAAATGATCAATCCAATTACGCCAGTGTCATAAGTGTTGAAAAACAAATGAAAGAACTGAATATTTATTTTTCTGGACTCTTAAGTAATTGTCCGACCAAATTATCGCCGGTAGTGCCAGTTTCGATTCTTGTGTTTATGAAACGTAAATTGTGCATGTGATTCGTTGAAAAAGGCAAATGAATAGTCGATTCAATAGTATGATTCGATTCACTAAAAAGAATTGTAATGCCCATCACTATAACGAATGGTCACATCGAGCCTCCGCGCTTTCTTGAACTTTCAGTAAATGGGAGATGGACGTTGCCACGATATGGTGTGAATATATTCATTGTTGGCCATTTAAGAATATTTCCGGCGGCGGCGGCGGCGGCGCGGCGGCTCGACGTGACGGTGGCGGGACGTTATAGCGAGAATCGCGCATAAATCGTTTTCTCTATGTTTAAAACAATTTTAATGCATAGCTAACTATAATTTAGGTTCGAATTTCTCTCTGTTGGTGTAGTTTACTAAAACATTACACAACTTAATTATAATACAACAAAATATATCTTTAAAACTCTTGACGCATAATTAGATGTTCATCCATTGTTTGCAAAAATGTTTTGATTTATCGGTACGTATGTATTGATTCATTGTAGAAGGCAGAGTAATTCAAGAATAATGAGTTTTAGTCACTAAATATAGTTTGAAAGACTTAAAGCATCCGATCATTACCGAAAACCGCTTGGTAACTGGTATTGCCATTTCTGGTAACTTGGTAATATTTATATTATTACTTAGATAAAAGAAGTGTCAATTCGTAGTCTGTATGTGTTCATATAACTACATTTTAATTTCTATTCTTAAGGTGTAATTATTATTTTTCTAAATAGATTCAAAAAAATACATTTTCAAAGGATTTTAGTCCGTTGAAAAATGTCCTTATATTTAGTTTAAATTCAATTAAAACAAAAAATTTGTTTATTACTACATGTACCATAGATACATAAAATTATACTACTTAGGTATTTCATTTATTAAATGTAAAATTTATACAAATAAAAGTAGTCTAATATATTTTTAATTATCTTTGGTTTTATTGTCTAAGTTTTAATACCCTTATATATTCCATTCAGAAACAAACAAAAATGGCAGGTGAAAAAAACATAGTTTTAGTAGTGGTTTTCAGACGTTCCATTATACATGGCGTTACGTGTGTTAGTCTTGAGGTTCAAGAATTGAGGCAGGATATTTTTTATTTCATTTTCCTGATTTGGAAACTATAGGTCTGTTCTCAGAAAAATCCCTCAGTCAGCGCATTTCTTATTGGTTGAAATGTGTAGAAACCAGACTAACAATCAGGTTTCTACGCATTTTAACCAATGAAAAACGTGCTGACTAGTCAGGGATTCTTCTGAGAACAGACCTAATGACGCTTACAAAAAAAAAATAGAGTGGATGCTACTACAGACCTAAGCTACTATGACAACATCGAAACATACCATTCAAAGAAGGAAAATCAGAGAAATGAGCTATTATATGCACTTAACAATGCCCCATTATATAAAACTAGAACAAAAAAAAACCATCAAGGATGCCAGATTTAAGTTTGAGCAGAATTTGCTCGATGGTTCTGAAAAACATTTCTATACATACATCAAACGTAACCTGAATTCAAAACTTACCACCTTCACCCTTAAAGATAAGAATACTAACACCCTACTTAAAACCAATGAAAAAATTGCCAACTGTTTTGCACAACAATTCCAAAGTGTTTTTGTAAGAGATTCTACTACTTCTGCACTCCAGCAGTCCCCAAAAGCTCCTATTCTGAAGTTGAAATCATCTCTGTTTTATTCACGCCTGAAAAAATAGAGAATTCCATCGATTCATTGAAACTTGATACAAGCCCCGGACCAGCACTGTATACCGGCTGTCTTCCTGTCAAGATGTAAGTACTCACTCAGTGGATCTCTTTCATTCTTGATGAACAAGTTATTATTAGATGGAAGACTAAGTGAAGAAGAAGTGTCTGAAAAAAAATCGTGGCAAAGGAGCTGACTGATTTCTTTTTAGCGAACCAAGTGATACCACCTGAACAACATAGTTTCCTTCCTCGGAGCTCTACAACAATCAAACTCCTATCCAGGCTCCAGCAGTGGACCGCACATGACATCATGCAACCCACGGATGTCATTTACCTAGACTTCGGGAAGGCTTTTGATAAAATACCAACTGATTACTTGATATGCAAGCTGGAACATTATGGTGTTAGGGGACGCATCTTGGCATTGATAAACTCATTTTTGCGAGACCGTACTTTCCAAGTGCGTGTGGGATTTGCACTTTCTGCTAGGCTCAGTATTGGGCCCGCTACTATTTATTATTTACTTGAGTGACTTATACTCTACCCATTCGCCGACGATACAAATGTGTACTGCAACCCCCTAACAGAAAAAATATGCTTCAAAAAGACTTAACAACCATTAAATCGTGGACGAATATCTGAAAAATGCCACTGAACAACTCAAAATGCACCATTCTCCACATTGGCCCTAATAACCCACATCAACGATACTATCTGGAGCAGACAGAAGTCTCAAGTGTGCAACATCGAAAAGACCTGGGCATTGAAATTGCGGAAAATCTGAAGTGGGAGTACCATATAAATCGCATAGTTAAACAAGCTAATACAATGATCTACCTAATAAAAGAGAGATAGCGAGATGATACTCAAGTTGTATAAGTCATACATTAGACCTAAGATTGAAATTTATTCTATTACTCCTATTTAAATTTTTTATATACATATATATATATATATATATATATATATATATATATATATATATATATATATATATATATATATATATATATATATATATATATATATATATATATATATATATATATATATATATATATATATATATATATATATATATATATATATATATATATATATATATATATATATATATATATAGGCAGAAAGTAGTCTCGACTGACTAGTGAGAAAGAAAATCTAGGATTTAGTGGGGTTGCAGTCGGAAGGATTAAGCCCAGAAGACCATAAAAGACAAATGGGATACTATATCCCCCCACACACCATTTGATTTGGCTTCTTTCACACAAATTTTAAATTTTGTTTTTGATTCTACAGTCTTTGTCTTTAATGACAAATTTTATAAGCAAATTTATGGCACACCCATGGGAGCTAGCATTTCCCCCATAATTTCGAGCTATGTTCTGGACGGGCTCCTCGCCCAGGGCATTGAGCGGGTCCCATATAACATTCCATTTTTTAAGAGGTATGTTGACGACCTTATATTGTCGGTTCCTATGGACATGACTGATCACATTCTAGACGTTTTTAACGATCTTAGTGACAATCTTAAATTCACTATTGAAAGGGAGGTTGATAATTCAATTCCTTTCCTTGACATGAGGCTTATTAGGAGACCTGACAATAAAATAGTCACGAAATGGTATAGAAAACCTACCAGTAGTGGTAGATACATTAACTACCATTCAGACCACCCTACACGAATGAAACTGGGTCTCGTCGGTGCTCTTGGTGACAGGGTCTCTCGTCTCTCACACAATTCTTACAGGGGTGCCTGCTTGAGTGACCTCAGGTCCATTCTTGTGAACAATTCATATCCCCCCTCTATAATTAATAAAATTTTATATAATAAAAATCAGATTTTAAATCATAGGTCGACCACCATACCCGCTCTGGATCAAGAGTTAAGTACCCCTCCTCGCGAAGAGGTTAACATTACTTTTAGTTGTCTTCCATTCATAAAAGACTTGACTCCTAAATTGATTCAAGTTTTTAAGGGTGAAAACATCAAGTTTGCGCTACGCCTCACTGGCCAGCTGAAGACCCTGTATACAAGAATAAAAACACCATTGGAAAAAACCAAAAATCAATGTTGTATACAGACTCAGATGCTCGGACTGTGATTCGTTCTATGTTGGCCAAACTTCTAGGTCCCTCAAGGGTAGAATTACTTCTCACAAAAGTGATTGTAGGAGGTCCATTAGGTCATGCTCGCTGGTGGAACATGTTATTGATGAAGATCATAGAGTAGCCTATGACGATTGTGAGATCTTGTATGTGGAGAGGAACACTTTTAGGAGGAAGTTTTTGGAGATGGTGGCTATAAATGAATGTCCGCGTACTTTAAACCGAATGACAGGCATAGATGATTTTTGAGTTCAATTTATTCTTACATATTAAAATTAAATAACAACAATAATATAATAAGCTCAGATTCAACCTTGTAGCCTCCACTTTCATTGTTTTCCCTACATTTTATCCTAACTACTTAACAAT